TTTTATAAAAAAATATATTCTGTATTATTAAAAATTACATATATTCCAAACGGCTCTGGAGGAACTCTCCAAATGGCAAAAGATTAATGGGCTGGGGATAAATCAAGCTGGAACTGAGCTGTTTTTTTTAAAAGGCGATAACTTTTTAGGTTTTCTAATTGGGGCTAAGTATTCGTTGTTTGATAGAAGGTCTTGAGAACGAGCAAATATAGAAATATATGCCACAAAGCATTCTGCATTACAGGGGCAGTAAACCACAAGCGATACTATACTTATATCGTATCATAGTATATCTTTCTTCTATAGAGCACTAGTAGCTAGAAGATTGATTCTATGAGTCAACTTTTTTCCAGATAATCTCTACTAAATTGTGCTCAAAGTAGGTATATTTGATTAGTGGAACTTCAGTTGGTATGACACCTACGACAGAGTTTTTGAACATATAAATATATTGTGTTCAAAGTAGGTCTACTTTATCAGTGGAATTTCGGTTGATATGTTTCTGGTTTTAGACTTCGAGCTAACACCTAGAGCAGAGTTTTTGAAAAGTGATGATCGTCTTAGAGCCGATAAACTGTCTATAGTTGAAACGAAAGTCGACTTTTTGCATTTAGTTTAGTTAAGTCGACTTTTTGCATCTTATGAAAAGTGGATTTTTCGATTTTTCGATTTTTCGACTTTTCTACTTTTTTCATTTAATTAAAAGTCGACTTTTCGACTTTTAGTATTTTATAAATAGTCGACTTTTTGACTTTTTCCGATTTTTCGACTCTTGTCGACTTTTTCCGACTTTTGACTTTTCCATTTTTTTTTCGACTTTTTGACTATTTTCGACTTCTTTCAACTTTTTTTCGAGTTTTTCTGACTATTTTAGAGTTTTTTGACCTTTTTTTTCCACTTTTTTAAAATTTTTCGACTATTTTTTACTTTTTCTACTGTTTTCGATTTTTCGACTTTTTTTCAACTTTTCCGACTTTTCGACTTTCTACGACTTTTTCGACTTTCTACGACTTTTATTTACAAAGTCGACCTTGTACGACGTTTATTTTACAAAGTCAACTTTTCGACTTTCTTCATAGACGATAGTCGAGTTATCGACTTATTGGAACAAAATAGTTGACTTCGACTTTTCGACTTTCTTCGACAAAAAGTCGATTGTTCGATTATTCGAAAGTCGATTTATAGAACCCTAGTTTGAGGAGGTTGCTGTATATATTGATGAATTGAAGATGGATACTGACACTGGTACCGCCGATTTTATGACTAACATCCATGACCTTAATGGTCCTTCATATATCCAGCTGTTCGAAAAGCGACGAAAGTGATACGGTATCATATCGTTATGGGAACGGTTGTATCAATCTTCCAGCATTAACCTAAAGGGCAGATACAATGTATAAAATATGATATATTTCGAGATATTATCTCGAAATATATCTTGATGCAAAAGCTACCAAGATACTTTTTGAACTGGAAAGATGTAGTCATTGTCCATTGTTCTGAGTTCAGGCAAAAAATTGCTAGAAAACTGGGTAGTATTGGGGGGTGAATTCGGATTCTTGCTATCATATTATCCATTATCTCGAGATCTGAATTCCTTGGCCCTCAGCCTTGTTCCATACCTCTTCAATTATGTCAATATAGTTAATGATGAATGTAATCACAATGGACTATAGCGGTTTCCGAGTGCAGTTTTAACTTACGAATCTGAATCTAACCTTGGAGTTTTCCGAAACTCGATTTTTGGGAAATGTTTGTGATTCTAAGGGAATAATCATGAACCAGTCAGCTTAGGAACTGATTTTGTGGAAACGTTATAAAGTTATCAAAGACTCACCCCAGTGTATTCCTGGACCTCTTAAAGTCGACCAACCACACTACTGAGATGACTTCTCTTGATTCGCCAACAGCACCTAGGTGACGTAATTAGTTAGAAAACACAAATCTATATTTAATTGGCCAGAATTATTTGAATGGCCACAAGGACCTACTGTGATAAGTTGAGCAAGTTTCCAACACACTTAACCATGAAGGAAAATCGTCGCCAATTTCACCAACATTTCACGAGTAACTCCTTCCATCAGATACAAGTATCAGAATGGTACATCTCACTCCATCATATACCCAATCTTTGCTTTATCAGCTCAATTCCAAAATTTTATAAATGCACAGCCTTGCCCTGTGGTTTGCACCTCACCTAGAAAACTTATATTTCACCATGTATCAAATATTTAACCAAGCAACCACTTCCCGTCAATTCTGGTTTAAACCACAACTACTATGTGGATCCCGAATAAGCTTCAACCAACTGCAAACCAGGACAAGTTCTGCGGGCAACTGGCCACCCGTAGTACCAGATAATGCTCTGGTCAAATCATTCCAAGGAAAGACCGAGAATACATTCAGACATCACCAGTTTATTGTCCCGGCAGACTAGAGGTACTGGTAGCACCCCTTTACCCCGGGATTGCAATACACCAAGATGTCTTTCATCAAAGAAACTTGTCCTGGGGGGAAGTTTGAGAACAAATTATGAAATGTACCCTGGAAAATTCTAAATAAAACAATATTTAAAATTCCGCCATTTTATTGAATTTAACAATTAACATCTATTTTTCAATGTTTCGTTTCCTCTTGTTTCTTAACAATTATATAACTGCTAGCCTTGCCATGGACATCAGCATGACCATAATTATGACTGTGACCATCATGACCATATTCTCCAGCATGTCCAGCATTAGCATGACCCAAGGTGTGAACAACCGCATTAAAACCTTTGTGTTTATCAGCGGAATATTCTACATGACGAGTGGTACCATCGGCTTCCTTGAGAGTATAGCTGCCTGGAATTAGTTATCAGGAATTTGATAACGATTTTTCTTAAAACTGATTTTCAAATAACATACCTTTAACATTGTCACCATCTCTGGACTCAGTTTGACTTTTGATATCACCGGTTTTGGCGTCTTTGACGCCATAGCTAAATTCATATTTGGGATAAGCATGATGATGATCATGGCCAGCATCATGTCCATCGTGGTGTCCTCCTACATAGTGACCGCCATCATGTTCAGCATAGTCTCCACCGCTATAACCACCATCATGTTCAGCATAATCGCCTCCGGCATGACCATGATCCTGACTCCAGGTACGCACAATGGCATGACCACCATTATATTTACTACCACCACTGTGATCATGTTCAGTTAATACAGAATAATGGCCATCATCATGACCATGATCGTTATTATGATCAAGAGGAATATAACCAGCAGCTGATAAACCAAAAATGGCTGCTAATAGGGCTAGATATGTCAGAAAATACATTTTAGTGAATTTTGTATTAAAGTCAGGATAATTGTTTTAAACAATTGAAAGTCGAACTGTGATGCCTATTGGATTATGAAGCATTATTTATATGAAAACTTGATCAAGTACTGAATTATCTAAAATTAATAACTTCGTATTTAACTTCGAAATGTAAGTTGTGTTTAACATTTTTGTATTGATCTTCATTTTGCATTCGCAGCTAAATTTTAAATTTAAAATAGATTTAACTACTAATTACCAGCAAATGTAGTTCACACAATCTTTAACAGCCAAAAAATATAAATGACCTCTTTTTAGTCAAGTTCAAGTTCAATATTTTTAAATACTTTCACTTAAACAGCTAGTAATTAGCAAAACATTAAGAGATTTTTTACTTGAACGAAATTTTTTCAACTATAAATATTACTATACTGATCCTCATTAGATCACAGTTGAAGTTTTCATTGTTCAAAACAATTATACTTGCATTAAATCAATTAAAAAATGAACATGTTTACATCGTTTGTTGCAGCTATAGCAATTTTTGCTTTAAACGCAGCAGGTCACTATCAACAAGGACATGATCTAGGACACGATCATGGACATGGTGGAGTAGGAGCTGTGGCAGTTCATTATTCTGTAGTAACTGAACATAAAACTGATTATCATGGTCATGGCGGTGAAAGTGGTGGTCATGCCTCTGTTCATACTTGGGGCCATGAGGGAGGTGACAAAGCTGCTGCCTACAAAGATCATGATGATGATGGCCACTATGGCGGACATGATGACGATCATGATCATCATGCTTATCCTAAATATGAATTTAGTTATGGTGTCAAAGATCCTAAAACTGGCGATATTAAAAGTCACACTGAAACTAGAGATGGTGGCAATGTTAAAGGTAAATTAATGCAAAAAAGTTTTTCCAAAACATACTTTATTTCTATTGCATATTTATAAGTAGTTACACCTTAAAAGAAGCTGATGGCACTACACGTCATGTAGAATATTCTGCTGATAAACACAAAGGCTTTAAGGCTATCGTTCATACCTTAGGTCATGCTCATCAAGCAGCCCATAATGAAGGTCATGGTGGTCATGGTTATGATCATGGTCATGGTAAAGCTACAAGTTATGTTATTGTTAAGAAACAAGAGGAAGAGAAGAAACATTAGAACTGAAGTACTTTAATAAAGCTTTAAAATGTATGTATTTTAGTTTTTATTTATTGGAAGTTATTGAAATTTCGGGAATTTTGATCAAATATTGGTTTCAGGTCCATTCTGAGTCCATTTTCAAAATCAGCGTTTGAATTTACCAGGATTTATCGAGTTTTGAAAAAAATTAAAAAAATCGTAAATTTTGATGAATGTTGGACCAATACTAGATCAAAATTTTTCATTTATTTTTGGGCTTGCTTTAATCTCAGAAACTACTGGCCGAATGTAATTGGAAACTCAATTTTCTAGTAAATGCCCATGCTGTTTCCGAAAATGGATCCAGAATAAACCGATTTTTTTTATTTTGAACCATTCGGTCTATTATTTCGGGATTTTGACTACGAGAACTGATAAAAAATCGTAAATTTTGATGAATGTTGGACCTAGAGCAAATACTAGATCAAAATTTTTCATTTATTTTTGGGCTTGCTTTAATCTCAGAAACTACTGGCCGAATGTAATTGGAAACTCAATTTTCTAGTAAATGCCCATGCTGTTTCCGAAAATGGATCCAGAATAAAGCGATTTTTATTATTTTGAACCATTCGGTCTATTATTTCGGGATTTTGACTACTAGAACTGCTGGGATTTGACATTTTAGATTAAATCCTATACTTATTTCGAAAATGGTTTCAGAATTGTACTAATTCTATTATTTCAATAAAATTTCTGAACAATGGACCCAGAATAGACCGAATTTTTTTTTATCTTGAACCAATTGTTCTATTATTTCGAGATTTTGAGGGCGAAAACTGCTGGAATTTGGCATTTTAGATTAAAACCTATACTGAATCCGAAAATGGTTTCAGAATTGTGCTAGGTCCAATTTTTCATTTAAATTTCTGAACGAAAATTTTGAACCTATTTCCCATGAAATTCTATTTTTTCACTTAATTTTCCCATATTTCCTATACACTAAGACAAGAACCGGTAAATTGAGAAGAAATTATATGTTAAATGAAATTTCGTGGGAAAATTGTTCTGAATTTTCTTTCAGAAATTTGGATAACATAATGGACCTATAACAATTCTGAATTCATTTTCGGATTCAGGATAGGGCTTATTCTCGGAATACAAAATTTGAGCCACCCGCGACCTCAAGATCCCTAGATAATAGCAGAAATTGCTTAAAACGGAAATTTTAATGAAATTTTGGTGCCAGGTCCATTTTCGGGTTTAGCAACCTAGGTCCATTGTTTCATTAAAATTCCTGAAAATTGTTTATTTTAAGCAATTTGTGATGTTATATCGGGGTCTTGAGGCCTAGATCTACAGAAATTTGACATTCAGGATTAGTACTTAAGCTGAATCCGAAAATGAACTCATAGTGGACCTGAGAGCAATATTTCATCAAAATTTCAGACCGATTTTACTTTCATCAAAATTCTCGAAAAACTTTTATTTTAAGCAATTTGTGATATTTTATCGGTGTCTTGAGGCTTAAAAAAATCTGAAACAATTTTACCCAAAAATTCCATTTTGTCACACAATTCTCCTAAATCTTGTCAAAATATGATGGTTATTGTCATGACTAATTTTTATATTTAGTAGTCTAGACAGGAACCGCTGAATTTGGAAGAAATCATATGTAATATAAAATTTCGTGGGAAAATTGTTCTAAAATTTTTGTTCAAAACTTTGGATTAAATATTGGACCTAGCTCAATTCTGAAGACATTTTCGGATTTAGCACAGATTTTAGTTTTGAATAGAATATTTCGATCGGTCTTGGTCTGAAAGAAAAAAAATCGGGAATTTTGTTGATATATTGCTCCCAGGTCCATTCTAAGTCCATTTTCTGATTAAGCAGAAAAGTGAGTTTGACAAAAGTCTCTAAATTTGACCCAGTGTAACTCAGAGAGTTCTTGTCCGATCTTGTTGAACAAATTTGTCTAAACTACTAACATTGGTACGGAAGACATCGGTTTCATAATCTCGATTTTTTGGCATATATATATGTATGTAAATCTGTCAGTACCTCCGTTCTACCACTAATCACTAACATACCGGAGATAAACTTCTTTTCAAGTCTTTTCAATAGTTTTATAGATTTATAACAGAGATTTATAAAAACCGACAATTAACTTTATTTAACTTAAATTTATTATTAATCGTAACACACGCATAAAACAATAATAGTTATTAACAAATAACAACCATCAAACACAACAACAACAATCATTTCAGTTTAAATTCCCTTAAGATTTTTCATTAATGTTTCTTGCCCTCCTGTTTCTGGACATAAATATAACTCGAAGCATGACCATAACCATGACCATAACCATGACCATAATGATCATCGTGACCATAGTAGTGACCAGCATCATGACCACCATTAGCATGACCCAAAGTATGAACAACAGCATTGAAACCTTTGTGTTTATCGGCAGAATATTCTACAACGCGGGTAGTACCATCAGCTTCCTTAAGGCTATAGCTGCCTGTAGATTTAATTTATTAAAAGAATTGTATTATTTTAAGTTAATTATAATGCTAATAACTTACCCTTGACATTACCACCATCCCGAGATTCCGAATGACTTTTGATGTCACCAGTTTTGGTATCCTTAACGCCATAACTGAAGTCATATTTGGGATAAGCGTAGTAATCATGACTATCATCACCATGACCACCATAGTGACCATCACTATGACCACCATAGTGGCTAATAGAGTGAGAATCAGCAACATCGTGTCCGCCATAATAACCAGCAGCATAATGAACATCAGCATGTCCACCATCATGACCACCGTGGCCACCATCATGACCGCCACCATGACCACCAGCATGACCATGATCAGTAACTACCGCGTAGCCAACTTCCTTGCTTTGACCACCATAACCACCATGACCAGCATCACCATGATGGGTATAATAGCCGGCAACTAAGCCACAAGCACCCACCAATAAAATGCCCGAAATATGAAGGAAACGCATTTTTAATAGGATTATGATAGGATTTGTTGTTTTGGAACTTGCTATAAGAACTGTTGATATTTTAACAATACAACGACTTATTTATACTAATAACTTGATTTAGGTTTCTATTTAGATTAAAAAAATTAAAAACCTTTTTAAAAACCTTGAGTTGAAAATATGAAATATTTGCTTAAACTAAAATAGTTAATTGCTATTTTATATGTATGTTATATAAAAAATAGTTCGAAATTAGTTAGTCAGCAGTTATAGTAAGTAATTAAATATCAATTTATTATTTGCACTAATTTCTTATATGCAAATACCACAAAAGTTCAAAAGTCACAAATGTTTAGAAAATTTCCTACCACACCGAGCTTATTCGATTAACATGATGCCAAATTGTTTAAGAGATTTTTGAAGTAAAAAAAGGATATTAAAGCGTATGCGTTTGTGCTGATGTTTGTAACATCCAACAGTATTAGTTCGACACTCTCCTTAATGTATACCAACCGAATCACAATCACTTTCTTTGCCCATCTGTAAGTCTGTCCGTCTGCCCGTCCATCTATTTGTTTGTCATATATTTACCCATATTTATAAGAAACTAGATTTGTATACCCTATACCACTATATTGGGGAGGGTATTATGCATTTATGCTGATGTTTGTAACACTTAACAGTATTTGGTTCTACACCCACCTTAAAGTATATCAATCGGTTCAGAATCACTTACATTATCCGTCTGTCCCATATGTATAAGAAACTAGATTTGTATACCCTACAACACTAACTATGGTATTATGAGTTTGTGCTGATTTTTGTAACAACAATCTGCTCAGAATCACTTTTTATGTCCGTCCATCGGTATGTCTGTCTGTCTGTTTGCCCAACTTTCAGAAAATCACTTTTTTTGTCAGCAAATTGTTAAAATATTTCTGAATAAAGGTGAAAAACAAATTAAATGCTCTATTATTAAAAAAAAATCATCCACATTTTTAACATACTCACTGGTGTAGGGTATCATATAGTCGGTCACACCCGACTATACATTCTTAGTTGTTTTGATATCGAATTATTTTTCGAGATATCTTAAATTAAGTTTGAAAATTTTAATTTTCCGCCTTATTTTAGACATTATAACCAGTGTTGCCATATTGGCGTTTAAAGTGTAAACTGCACTTTTTATTAACTGTTAGTTTGCCATTTTTTTGTTAAGGAAAAAAATCGAAAATTTTGTAAAAATTTTCCGTACGAATGAACAATTTTAGTATTTATACCCTACACCACTATAGTGGGGATGGTCCTAAACCCACCTTAAAGTATAACAATAGGCTCAGAATCACTTTCTGAGTCGATTAAGCTATGTCCGTCCGTCCGTCCGTCCGTCCATCTGTCTGTCTGTGTATCCATGTAAAGCTTGTGAGCATGCTACAGGTCGCAATTTTCAAGCTAATTTGATGAAATTTGGCAGATACACTTCTTTCAACCTAGGGACAAAAATGGTTGAAATCGGTTCACTATTTCGATTAGCCCCCATACAACCGTACCCCCAGAATAGGGCTTTTGAGCTCATAACTATGTTAAATGTTCCAGTGTCTCAGCAAATTTAGATTTAAATTTAGTTTTATAGAAATTTTAAATGACAATTCCGATTTTTGTAACGATCGGGCCTTATTTGACCCTAGCCCCCATACAATATCCCCTTCAGAAAATAACTTCAAGGTCAAAATTCACTTATAAACACTAATAACAAATTTTTAACATACTCACTGGTAAAGAGTATCATATGGTGACCATGCCCGACTATACATTCATACTTGAACCTTTTAAGGATATTTTTAAATAAGCTCTGATATCACTGGTTATAACAGCATGAAGTCACCTTTAATTCATAAAATTTGTCATGTTGCACAGTGTTATAATGATAAATGCGTAAAAAGGACATGTTTCTGAGTTTAAGTTTTAAATTTGGATCTCAAGGATCCACCAGTGAGGTAGTCAGAGGTCCGCAAAGTAGGACACCTCGGGTATGTTAAATTGTTTTTCGATTGTCTTTCGATCTCAAAACAAATTACACATATAGAATCTCCTCAAACTCGTAGCAATCAATCTTTTTTTAAAGTTTACGAGATATTTGCATTTAAAGTTCAAATTTTTACCGCACTCACACTCCAGTTTTTTTAATAACAGAAATATTTCCTGAAATTCTCCATTTTCTTTTATTCGATTAACATCAAATTTATATATCAAACAGTAAAAGAATTGTTTAATAGTTATGACTGAGTCCAAAGTTATGGGCATTTCAATTTAAAAAATTCCAAAAATATGAATTTTTGCTTTATTTTGGGGATAAAAAGTACTTTTATATTTGTAAGTTACCGACAAAATTTCTAAGAAAATGTAGGGGGATTTTATGCTCTTTCAAAAGCTAACTTTACGCAAAATATTTTAAATGAAAAAATATTTCGAAACTTGTAATTCAAAGCGGACCAGTTCCATCCCAAAAAGGCTTATTTTTATACCCTACACCACTTTAGTGGGGAGGGTATATTGGATTTGTGCTGATGTTTGTAACATACAAAAATATTCATCCTAGACCCACCTTAAAGTATACCAATCGGCTTAGAATCGTTTTCTGAGTCGATTAAGCTATGTCCGTCCGTCTGTCCGTCTGGCTGGCTGTCCATGTAAACCTTGTGCGCAAGGTACAGGTCGCAATTTTCAAGATAATTGAATGAAATTTGGCACGCACGTTTTATTTGACCCAAGGACGAAGCCTATTGAAAATGGTTAAAATCGGTCCATTATTTCACCTAGCCCTCATAGAACAGAACCCCCCGAAAAGATATATCGATAAAATACGGCACAACTAAGTTTTATAGAAGTCTTGATAACCCTGCCAAATTTCATAAAGATCGGGCCCCATTTGACCCTAGCTCCCATACAAAGTCCCCTTCAGAAAATTACTTGAATGTCCCAAATTAACTTATAAACACAAATATCGCGATGAAATTCAGCACAATAAAATATTATGTAAATATAAATATATTCAAAAAATTTTATCGGGCTTAGTCCATATTTGCCCCTAGCCCCCATATAAAGCCTCTTTCAGAAAATTAGTTTTTCATCCATAAATTGCTTAAATGTATCGGAACAAGGGAATATTGAAGATAAATGCTTTATTATGAAAAATAAATCACATTTAATATTCATAACTGGTGTAAGGTATCATATGGTCGGCCACGCCCGACTATACTTTCTTACTTGTTTTTATCTAAAATTCGAATTTAGGTCAAAAATTCTCAAATCGCATAGTCTATAGCAAATTATAGTAAACCATTTTAGATGGCCCAATGTGTTCTTAATCATCCTGTAAAGGCTTTAACTAACCCCGCCTCTGGTATGGATATTTTAGCTAAAATACTAAAGAAATTAAATTTTTGGAATTTTTCCAAATTTTTTTAGGAATTGGGGGATTTGTGATAGGAAATTTCACAATTTCTTTTTAGTTTTACATTCTCAAAGAAAAAGTATATTTGACAGTAAATTTTCGTTAAAAAATTATTCATAAATAGAACTTATACATATATTCGCAACAATTCAACAAGAAACTATTTTTGCCACATTTCTTAAAAAAATATTCCATGAATTTTTGATTTTCAAAGAAATGTATGAATTTCTGAAAAGAAGACTTCAGTAACAATCCAGTGATATATAAAATGTCTACATTGTTCTTTGATCACTTGAAAATTTAAGGAAGTAATATTTAACATCTCATGGTAAAATTGGCTTCCTTTGTTTTTTGTGTTGGATACGTGACGTATACGTAATATTTAATTTTTGATGTCAAAATTTTACCATGAGATATTAAATATTTACTCCTTAATTTTACTTGTGAAAAGGATAAGGTAGACGTATTACATATCAACGGATAGGAAATTAAGTCTAATTTTCAGAAATTCATAAATGTTCGCCTTAAAGTTGTACAGTGTTATGCATCCACTGGAATTCTTAGTTAATAAATAAAAAAAGGAAACACTTATAAAAAAACAAATAATATTATATTGACATTTATTTATCGTAAAAATTTAAAATAACAAACTTTTCAATTATAAATTCAAATAGAGTTTAGTGTTTCACTAATGTTTCTTTCCTTCCTGTTTCTGGACAAAAATATAACTCGAAGCATGACCATAACCATGTCCATATCCATGACCGTAACCATGACCATAATCATCATCGTGACCATAGTAGTGACCAGCATCATGACCACCAGAAGCATGACCCAAAGTATGAACAATAGCATTGAAACCTTTGTGTTTATCGGCAGAATATTCTACAACACGGGTGGTACCATCAGCTTCCTTAAGGCTATAGCTGCCTGTAAATTTAATTTATAAAAAGAATTGTATTATTTTAAGTTAATTATAATGCCAATAACTTACCCTTGACATTACCACCATCTCGTGATTCCGAATGACTTTTGATGTCACCAGTTTTTGTATCCTTAACGCCATAACTGAAGTCATATTTGGGATAAGCATGATAATCGTGACCATCATCACCGTGACCACCATAGTGACCACCATAGTGACCATCATCATGACCACCATAGTGGCTAATAGAGTGAGAATGACCATCACCGTGTCCGCCAGCAGCATAATGACCACCATCATGACCACCATCATGCCCACCACCGTGACCACCACCATAACCACCACCATGACCATGTTCAGTAACTACCGCGTAGCCAACTTCCTTGCTATGACCACCGTAACCTGCATAGCCAGCATCACCATGATAACTGTAATGGCCCGCAACTAAGCCACAAGCGCCCACCAATAAAATAGCAGTAATATTAAAGAAACGCATTTTTCTAACGCAATAAATTATATTTAATCTTATTGAACTTGCTACAAGAACTGTTAATATTTAGAGAATTCAAAGGCTTATTTATACAAATCTCTGAATTAGCTTTATGAAGTTTTAGGCAATTCTGCACTATATCGAAAACCTTGAGTTAAACATTTGCAAAAAAAAGGTTAATTGCATATTTTTAGTTAATATTAAAAGTATTTTGAAAGCTATTAGTCAGCCGCTCTAGTAACTCATTAAGTATTATTTTATTAGTTACACTAATTTCTTATACATTCAACAGCAATATGTTGTTGAGTTTGTGCTGATGTTTGTAACGTTTAAATTTTAAATTGAAAATAATGGTAGAAATATCTAACATCTCATAGTAAAATTGGCTCCCTTTGTTTTTATTCTTTTTCAGCCATAATATGGATACGTGACGTATACGTAATATTTAATTATTGCTGCCACAATTTTACCTCAAAATGTTAAATGTTTTCTACTTAATTTTACATGTGAAGAAGACTAGTTAGACGTTTTATATATCATTGGATTGCTAGTTAAGTCTACTTTTCAA